AAGATGCTTTTCTCTACTTGGCAGCTCCATAACTTCATCCTGGGTGTGTTCTTTCCTTCTCACACATCATCTGACATATGCATAGGTCATATTATGCCTTTTTATATGTATGCAAGCATTGTCTTCACATCATATCTGCAGTAATCCCTACATAGACCTCTTCTTCTTAGCTGTGTGAGGATTTTCACAGGACCTATGACACAATTTGCAGACAATGGACTGTTGTCAGGGCTGATTGAGGGTACAATTTGGTCTCTGTCAAAATTTGACCTTTACTGATGTGTGAATTGGGAAGAACCCAGCCTAAATTTTGTAGTCCAGTCTGAGTTTGTGGGTCTAGCAGTTAGCATATTTTTTTTAACTTACAATAAGGAACAAATATGAGATGCAAAATCAATGACACACAGAATATGGAAAACAGCAATACCACTGTGGCAGAGTGATTTAAAAAAAAAATGTCATACCATAGTTGATGTTAGTAACAGCTAAAGTTGGTTGGGACTTTTTGAATTGTTTCTTCGTTGAAAAATGCCAGTTTGTCAAAACCAAATCTGTTTGCCAGAAAGAGCTAGATTCAATGCATTTCCCGTTTTTTTTTTTGTTCATTTTATTTGTTTGCAAATATTTTCAATGTATTAATTTTTTTCTTCCTCATTCAGAATGGAAATAATGTCAAATTCTTAGAAATATTCATGAGATGGGGATACCTGTTTCCCGTCCAGCTCCATTCTGATCAGTTCATGCACTATTGGAAGATGTTCAGATTATGCTATACTGAGGGAAGTTTGAGGACCTACAGACCACGGACTAGAAAAGAATTAAAGGGTATAGGACCTTGTGAGGGCCCAGTTTAACCCTGAGTATAGGGCAGGCTGCACAAAAACATAATGTGTACCAGTCACAAGAGTTATTCAAAGTGAGTAAACCCGGTTGCTGAACAAACTGTGCATAGGGCATCAATATTGTAACCCCTGACTTGCTGTAAGACACAGAAACCTCCCCATTAATCATCCCTCCTTTTCAGACAGTAACATTCACAGTAAACCACGCAGGCTGCGTCTAGACTGGCAAGATTTTGCACAGAAGCGGCCGTTTTTGCACAAAATCTTGCCGCCTGTCTACAATGGCCGCGAGTATTTGCGCAAGAACACTGACTTTGTACTGTACAAAATCAGTGGTTCTTGCACAAATACTCCGACGCTCCCGCTCAGGGATAAGCCATCTTGCCCAAGTATTCTTGTGCAAGAGGGCCAGTGTAGACAGCCAAGTTGATTTCTTGCGCAAGAAAGCCCGATGGCTAAAATGGCCATCGGAGCTTTCTTGTGCAAGAGAGCGTCTACACTGGCATGGATGCTTTTGTGCAAAGGCACATGCCAGTATAGACGCTCTATTCGCAAATACTTTTAACAGAAAAACTTTTCCGTTAAAAGTATTTGCGCAAAATCATGCCAGTCTAGATGCAGTCACATAGAATAAATGCAGTAAACAAAACAAGAGCACCTTTCTACATCCAAACCTCTCCTCCCCCCATCTCCTTCCACTAACTGCTATCTCAGACATATCTGCGGATCCCTAATTAGCACTCTATTACTCACAGGACAGTTCTGTTTCTTTCCGGGGTTAATATCTATCATTGTGCCTGGCTTTGCAAGGCATTTATTAATTACAGCAACACTGCAGTCAACTACTGCAGTTCTTCCACAGTTTGTCTGTGCCATTTCCCATTTTATTTTCTCTGATGGAGAAGTATTACCGGTGTATCCATGGTGTCATTTATTTTTAAATGTGACTAAAATGATCACTTCAAAGTATCTTAGTTGGAGAAAAAGAAAGAGAAATTAAAAATAATTCCACTAACACAGCAGCTGAGTTGTGGGGAGCTTTAGGGAAGGGTAGAAGTTTGGTTGTTGGAGGCCAATGACAATTTCTACAGTACTATAGAATATTGGATCACACCATTGCAAGCATAGAGCAACATATTTGGGAACCTGAGATCAGACTGCAGATGTAGCAGTGATAGTGTCACATATGATAATCTGCCTCAGGCTTCACTATTTCTTCTCCTACCACCTTCTTGATTCAGCATGGGAACCTTCCTAATGCCTGCAGCACACAACATACCCGTGTCTGTATTCAAGGGTATAAAATCAGATGTGTGAGGTTGTTCTGTGGCACTGGTAGCTTTGATAAGAACTGCTCTATGAACTCTGTTTTCTTACTAGGTTTTATTTTACTCTTCCCTAAGCTACCAATGCTGTCTTGTCACTGCTGTTTGTCATCATTTTTATGCAGCTGCTATCTCAGTGAAGTCTCATCTTCCCAGCTCACTGACACAGCCTGCTAATCTATATGGAACAAAGCTCTCCAACAGAACAAAAAAATGCTATCACAAAGGACAAAGTTAATGACCATTGACACGATCATGGATTGAATTTCTTCAGGCTGTGTAATTTCTCCCAACACTGTGTTAAAGGGGCAAGCTTGTGCCCCTATTCACTGTCTGCTGTTACTGTCACACGTCTACACAGTGGGGCTAAAGCCGAAACAGGCTATGCAACTTGAGCTACGTCAATTGTGTAGCTTAAGTCAAAATAGCTTATTTTGGCTTTGGCGCTATCTACACAGCAGGAAGTCGAAAGAATAGCAGTCTTCCTCCGACTTCCCTTACTCCTCACGAAATGAGGGTTACAGGAGTCAGAGTAAGAAGTCCTCCAGCTTGACATTATTTTGACATGTTGAAATAACTGCTTGTAGTGTAGACGTGGACTATATTATTTCAGAATAACGTCAGTTATTCATATGCTGTGTTGACATACCCTTAGATACGGGTATTCTCCAGCAAAAGAATACCCTATAGTGTGAAAACAGAGAATCGCACGAAGGGCACTTTCTTCATTCTTGTCAGCTTCTACTAAACTGTAGACTGCCATTAGACTCACTTGATATAAATATAACAAAAGAACTTAATATGTAGGAGTTACTCAGCATTATGCCAGCTGCTTTTTTCCAATGAAATTCTATCTAAAAAATGTAGCCATCCCTTTTTCATATGTGTGGACACTTTTGTAAACAACAAAGAATAAGAGATAAAACTAAAAAACTTGAAGGCTGATATATAGCCTGTTGAAGGCAATGGGAGCACTTACAATTACTTTGAACTGGGTTTGCATCAGGCCTGTGGTCACTCACCATTTGGTAGAATGGAGACAGAAGCTGTCTTAGGGAGAAGGGCGAATAGCTCTTTCTATGTCTGTTGGTTCAGCATCTTGGAGGAACTCGCTCAATATCCAGTTGCTGGTGGACAACTGGTAGATGTAAAACCTGGGCAAGGTTTTCAGAAGAGCTTAGGTTCAATTACAGGCCTGGACCAAAGGTCAATAGAAAACTCAGAGCCCAGATCAACTGACTCAGACTTGGGGTACTTGTGCTCTCAGGGGTGAAAAATAGCAGCATAGACTGCACACCGACCTACAAGGTCATCCCACCTTGCCCAGTCTCAGAGGCCAGGTTCCAGCCCAAGTGAGAATGTCTTTCCAGCTATTTTTCGCCCCTAAGGCTATGTCTACACTATAGAGCTTTTTCCGATAGTTTTTTTGGAAGAGGATTTTCCAAAACTTGGCCTGTGTACACTGGGCCAAATTTGGAGAAAAACCCTCTTTTGGAAGAGCCCTTCTTCCTCACGGGAGGAGGAAGACAGAGATTCTGAAAGAGCATGTCTGCTCTTCTGCAAAAAAAAAAAAAAAAAGCAGTGGAAGAGTAGATGCATTCCCTGGACACAGTGAAATTTTTACAGGATACCTCCAGTATCCTGGAAAAACCCCATAGTCTAGACATAGCCTAAGTGTGAGCTCAAGTCCATTGACTGAGGCTCAGACACACTTACGTGGAGATTTTGCTTCACTGCAGATGTACCATTAGATACTTGAAAGAAGCGGCCAGATATTCATCAGTGCCCAGCACCTAAAGGTGCCGATTGTTCTCAGTGGGGGATGCTGAAGCAAAATGCAGGACAATGTAGCACTTTAAAGACTAACAAGATGGTTTATTAGATGATGAGCTTTCGTGGGCCAGTCCCACTTCCTCAGATCAAATAGTGGAAGAAAGTAGTCACAACCATATATACCAAAGGATACAATTAAAAAAATGAACAAATATGAAAAGGACAAATCACATTGCAGAACAGGAGGGGGATGCGGGGGGGGGGAGGAAGGAAGGTAAGTGTCTGTGAATTGATGATATTAGAGGTAGGGAGAGTGGGATGTTTGTGAGTTAATGGTATTAGAGGTGATAATTGGGGAAGCTATCTTGATAATGGGTGAGATAGTTCAAATGTTTGTTGAGTCCTTTTTGGAAAGTGTTGAATTTTAACATGAATGACAGTTCAGAGGATTCCCTTTCAAGTGCAGATGTAAAAGGTCTTTGTAGCAGAATGCAGGTGGTTAAGTCATTGAGAGAGTGTCCTTTCTGGTTAAAATGGCAAGAAACTGTTTTCTCTTTGTGATCTTGTCTGATATCTGTTTTGTGGGCATTAATCCTTTGGCGAAGTGTCTGAGATGTTTGTCCAATGTACATAGCAGACGGACACTTTCGGCACATGATAGCATAGATTATATTTCTGGATGCGCAGGAATATGTGTTCTTGATCTTATAACTCACTTGGTTAGGTCCAATAATGGTATCAACAGAATGAATATGTGGACAAAGCTGGCAACGGGGTTTGTTGCAAGGGAAGGTACCAGGGTTGGTATTAGTGTGGTATGTCCTGTGGTGGTTGGTAAGAATCATCTTGAGGTTAGGTGGTTGTCTATAGGAGACTATGGGTCTGTCTCCCAGAGCCTCTTTGAGTATGGTATCCTGTTCCAATATAGGCTGTAGTTTATTGATAATGTGTTGGACAGGTTTAAGTTGGGGGTTGTAGGTGATGACAAGTGGTGTTCTATTGTTGGTTTTCTTGGGTCTGTCTTGAAGTAGATGGTTTCTAGGTATTCGTCTGGCTCTTTCAATTTGCTTTTTTATTTCTCTGGGTGGGTAGTTGAGGTTTATAAATGCTTGGTAGAGATCCTGAAGCTTCGGGATGCTGAGTGCTCAATGCTTGTTAAAATCTTCCCATTTTATTTAAGTGTTGTGTTCCCTAGAGAAAAACAGGTCTTTCCCTGGCAGTTTAGATTAACCTGAAACAAATAAAGAAGAACAAATTGAAATCTGTCTGCACAGGAACAAGAACCTCCAGCTTGAATTGCCTCCCAACTTTGTTCCTCAGAAGAGAAGCATCTGAACTTATTTTTCTGTTTACACTTTGTAGTCATTACATTTATGCCGGTTTGGGGATGTGAGAAAAGGATTCAGTCTTCAAAGAAGTCTCAGATGTACATGTTTGAAAATGCAAAAAAAAAAAAAAAGAACTCTTGTTCAGAAAACAGCATCCAAAAATAATGTGGCATTTGGTGAGTCTACTGTTATGGACCATGTAAACCATCTCAAAACTGATAGCTTTCCACTTTAGCTAGAAATTTGACATGGCCAATCTAACATTGCCACAGCAAGGGCATAGCTACAAACAGTCCCAGTTTGGCAGCTTTGGACAAATGGGCTAGACATCTTAGGGCCTGAAAGAGAGAGAGACAGAGTGAGAGAGAGAGAGAGAGATCAACTGATTCTCTGTCCATTATGCAGACAGCAGTAGAGTAGCTATGGCAGAGTCCTAACCGGCTAGTGGGAATCACAGCCTGTGGATAGCAGCCCTATTAATACTCAGAATTTTTGCCTGTAGCAAGGCAGTTATTGTATTAAATAAGTGGGGACTTTGGGGAGAAGGGAGGATGGGGACAGAATTAATTTTGGGGAAGTGATTTCTTAGTAATAAAAACCACACAAGGAGAAAAGGGGGTGCAATTAAGGAACAAAGGATAATAGGCCTGTTTCCTCTCCCCAAATATGCTATATGTGTGAGAACTATAGGCATCTGGGTGTACCAAAAGAAGGCAACAGTAGGTAAGTGGGTGTCTTTTTTGAGGGTGTGAGGAAGTGTTCCCTGTAAACTGTGTACTTGTGCAGCTGCCTTGCAGAGATTCAAATGCCACCCAACTAATTAGCAGAGCTGCACAACTTGATTTTTTGTTTCTATTGGTGGTGCACATTCACCATGTTTTAGTGCACATAAAAACTTTATTCTGCAGATGGATGGGAAAAATTAGAGGGAACATTGGTATGAGGCTATTTGGGAAGGAATGATTATATCCCATCAATTAGTTTTTAGCTGAATCCTCAAAATTTTGCAACCCTGACAAAGGGCTATAGAGATAGCTATATTATATCTATAGCTATATTATAGCTATGTAGAGATCGCTATATTATGTCATCTGAAATTCCCAAGTAAACATCTCCCTATCCCTGAGCAGCACTCAGAAGAACCCCAACTTCTGGGACAATTCTGTACAATTTTTATAAAGCCATAGCATGTATGCTCTAGCAAAAGCTGTATGTTCAGTGACAGATGAAAATACTGCCTGAATGGAAAGAAGAACATCTAGGATCAGGAACTCCTGTTTTAAATGGCTCTTGGAAAAATGAAGTGCTATCTCTTTAAGTTTTATGTAGCAATTGCAGACAGTGTCTAAGCTGACCCCCTGTAATTATAGCAGTGTAAATTCAGATGTGAGAGGTCATTGTCTGGCACTAACAGCTTTATGCAGACTTGTACTATGAACCTTTTTTTCCTGCTGGGAAAATTAATTATGTGATCGGCTCTGCTTGAAATTAACACAGAGCTAACCTTTTCACATGAAGAGATCAAACACTCCAAGGTGACTTGCAAATTACTCCTCTAAGGGAGGGTCCCTCTTTTCTCTTCCCTCCCCCTGCCCAGAGAAATAATTAGTTCACTTTGGTATGATGTTTAAGTACTGTCATTAATCAAGTCAAACATTCTGAAAGATTTCGTTTTTGTTCTTTTTTTATATTTAAGTTTTAACTCAATTTTTAATTAGAAAGTGTACAAAGTGCTTTGGATAAAAAAGATTTCCCAATATTGATCCCAATCCAAATTTAAAATACATATTTTGTATGCAAATAATAAAGCATAAAAATTATAGTGAGGTTGTCATAGCTTCATCTTTATACTTTATATACATATATATAGTTTACTCATACATGCAGAGGAATACACTTACCTGAATGGGTGAATGTGTTTGTATGTACAGGTAGCTGATCCACATGATAGAGATTTTTGCCATTTTTCAATGGCTTGCAATTGATTTCTATGTTCCTTCCAAGTTAGAATTAGGGCTGGTTGAAAATTTACCATTGAAATTATTTTTCATTGAACAATTGACTTTGCATCTGAACATCTCTCTGTGAAAATTTTTGAGTATTTGCATTTGTTGAAAAACCAAACACCTGAAAATAAAAAAAAAATAGTTTTCAGCTGAAAACAGAAATATGTTGATTTCCATCATATATTGGGTTTACAATTTCATTCAAGGGCTTTCAGAACTCCTAGTACACAAATTGTTTTAACACCACTGGCTGAAGATTTGCTTCAGTGAACTTAGGTTAGAAGCCATTCGCCTATACCAGCTTGAATTTCAGCATGTTTCTATCACTTGCATTTACTTCATGTTAGAAAGGGAACAAGTATAACTAGGGGAAAATGCACAGTACCTCCTTTTCCAGTAACCTCTTTGTTCCAGGTAGAATTATCCAGGGGGACAGGTAAGCAGAATGGTTCAATGCACTATAGCCCCCCAAAACGGTGTGATACAAAACCAAAATGGGCTCCAATGGAAATCCATTACACTCTGCTATGTATCTGTGATCATTAAAAAAAAAGAAAAAGAAAAAAATCCCTAGTCATACTCCAAATATACACACACATTCTAGTGATCTAAAGTGACAAGAGAATTAATACATACAATTTGAACATTGGCTTACAGATAATTGTGTCATTTTGTTTGTTCTAACCTAAACCTAACCTCTAATTTTGCCTTTGAGACACTTAAAGTACAAAATTGGTGTTTAGCAATATGGTTTCCATTAACTTTAAGGGAAGAGAAGAGCATGTTGAATTCTCACACATGGCTTTGAAGATATAAAGTAGAAAATTTCAGTTTGTTTTGCAAAAACAAATTAGAGATAGAATTAGACATCTCACAAACACAGATGCTTGCGAGTGGCAATGAGACAATTTTCTCCTTATTGGAAACATGTGAACGTCCTATTAAAAACAAACAGGAGTGGTGTAACATTTCAGTATTTGTGGACAGTGCCAGTCTTGGCACCTGTTAGACAATGTCAAAACAACATAAAAAATTTTGTACTGTGAAACAAACAAGGAGTTGGAAATTTGTACACAGAGACTGGGGGATGGGTGTGTTGTCTTATTTATATGTTAAAAACAGATGCCAAGCAATACAAAATGTACAATACAATAATATGTAGATAGAGGGACATTTTTCCTTTAAAAATCCTTGGAGCACATACCAAAATGTAAAGTTGCAAAAACATTTTTTCCTTCATCAGATAATTTTGCACAAACTCCTGAAGATCAAAGTCAAGTCAAGAGATAAATGACATCTGAGCTGACAAGGCATCTTAGCCACTTGAGAGTCCCAGAGGCAGCCTTAAAGCCAACAACATGATTGCCTGTGGAACTGCCAAAGGATCCAGATGGCAGCACTGAAATAAAAACTGTGATGACAAATATTCAGACAAAGAGTCACCTGTGGCTTATGTTTTTGTATGAGTGCTGCTGAAATCAGTGCCAGAAGAAGAATGAGGAGAATTAAGGGGAAGGTATATATTTTCTGCTATTATTCCAAGGTCCAAACCTGAAGTCCAGACTCCTTACACATGCAGGATCTCCACTGGAGTTACTGAATTTCATCTGTGCCTTCATGGCAGAAATGGGTCCCAGAATTCTACTGTATTCTTTTAGTTGTCTCTAGCTGAATAATATATAAAACTGAATAAAACCAGGGTATAAATAGCAAAAGGCCCTGAAATGTCTAATGAGCACTCAGGTATATCAGACACTTTAAGGGCATAACCACTTGCCTCAATCTGGTCTCAGCCCTGGCTCCCGGTCACTTCTAAATCACCCCAGGCACACCTACGGTTTAAGACAGATAGTATTTAATAGTTATATTACAGCACTCCCCAGAGGCCCTGGTCACCATTGGAACATTTTCATGTTCACTGAAGTACAAAACCAAAGGAAGAGATGATCCCTTCCCCACAATAACTTCTGTGGTCTATAATTATTTTCTCCTCCTTTACATGGTCACTTGAGTCAATGTTTCATTTTGAGCCTAACTCTAGTTCAAATAGTATCAGAATAAGATCTTGTAAACCAAATGTAAATGAAATACAAAAGAAAACACCCTTGTATTTAAAGTGATAGATTTGACAGAATACTAAAAATGGTTATTGGCCACACCGTCAAGCATGCTCTTTTTTCTGTGATTAGGAGAAGCACAATCAGGCCTACTGCACAACTGTGGAAGTTCAATAAAGGTTATCCAATGTTCAATCGAAAAAGATAATCATGCTGTTGCACAGCACTTGGTAAAATGTATATTTTTTGCTTGCATCCAGTTTACCAAACACCCCAATTTGCTCTGAATTAGTGACCTGCCCTCTTCAATATTAACCTACATTATTTGCCAAATGTTTGTGTCATTTGCAAACTTTATAAGTGATATTTTTATGGTTTCTTCCAGGTCATTGATATAAATGTTAAATAGTGTAGAGCCAAGAACTGCTCCCCATGGAATCCCACTAGAAGTAGACTCACTCAATTATGATTTCCCCCTAAACAGTTAGGCTGTGTCTAGACTGGCAAGTTTTTCTGGAAAATCAGCAGCTTTTCCGGAAAAACTTGCCAGCTGTCTACACTGGCCACTTGAATTTCCGGAAAAGCACTGACCATCTCATGTAAAATCATCAGTGCTTTTCTGGAAAAAACTAGGCTGCTCCCATTTGGGCAAAAGTCTCTTTCCGAAAGACTTTTGCCTAAAAGGGCCAGTGTAGACAGCATAGTACTGTTTTCCACAAAAAAGCCCCGATCGCGAAAATGGCGATTGGGGCTTTTTTGTGGAAAACCGTATCTAGAAAGTGCTTTTGCAGAAAAGCATCCTGCCAATCTAGACGCGCTTTTCCAAAAATGCTTTTAACGGAAAACTTTTCCGTTAAAAGCATTTTCGGAAATTCATGCCAGTGTAGATGTAGCCTTACATTTTGAGAACTATCAGTTAGCAAGCTTTCAATCAACTTAGTGCCATATTAATTTTATATTATTCTAGCTTTTTAATCAAAATGTCATGTTACCAAGTCAAATACCTTACAGAAATCTAAGTATTTATGTCAAACCTATAATTTTATCAACCAATCAGGACCTGAAGTTAGCTTAAAACTGCATGGACAGACAGAATTGAATTGTCCATGTTGGTAATCCACTGTTAAGAACTGGAAAGAGGAAGACATTTTCAACAAGTTGTATTGATTCCAGAATATAATTAACAGCTGACCTATTAACAATAGGTGTGGTTACTTACACCATTATAATTAGTTAAGTTTTCCTACCTGACATTTTCCACTATAAAACTTCTACTTTCAGTTTCGCTTATCACTTAGCAAAACTTTATCTGTTTCAGCTGAAATTCTCTGTGCGAGGTATCTGATTCAGGTGGAAAATTTTTAGCAATTTTCAACAAAAAGGTTCAGATGTTCCCCAGAATGAGAATGGGAAAAATACAAGTTTGTCCTTACTAAAAATAATTCTTAAAACTGTATGGTTGAAACATTCTTCTTCCTGTGTTTTTGGAGCAGGGACTTGAAATTTGGTTTGGGGAAGGCAAACCTCTTTGGCATCAAGGGTGTGCCTTTTGCTATTCTTGAGATAAAAAAAATAACACATGCTCAAATCTGATCAAGTTATAGCTCTATGGAAAAACTTAGCTGGTGAATGCTCAGCAGAAACTTGTTAAAGTTTTGCAGCTAAATTTTTTGAAGGTGCTATCTGCACAGAGCATTCTCCAGCTTTCCTCTGCAGGGTCTGAGCAGGACCTTCTCTGGAACTGCTGCTCTCAGGACCTTCTCTGGAACTGGTGCCAATACACTGTAACTAAGCACAGGGAGTGCCTAGATAGGGAGGAAGCAGAGATGGCTTAAATGGAGACTGGTGAGAGGCTGGGCTTGGAGCAGATGCATGGGAGGTCAGGACAAGGAGAGTGAGCACTGGGAAAAGAATGGTAGAGGACTAGGACTGAGATGAGGACAGTCTCTAGAAAGTCTCAGGTAGAAGGGGTCAGGGATGTAACTGGAGGTGGAGACAGGGACTGCCTGTAAGCCAATAAGATGAGCTTCCCCCTCAGAAACAGAACTAGATTTCAGGATGCCTGATTTTAGCATGCTTGTGCTGTAAGCAAGTAGCCTCATCTCTGTCCAGTGGCTGACCTGCATGGCCAAAGTATGTTGTCATCCTTTATCAGTTGCCTCAAATGGCAGAGGTCTGTGCTGTGGTTAAACCTGCCAGGGAGCCATTTTGGGACCCCTTTTGGGTCCACGTGCTGATTTTTTCCAGATTTTTTTAAACCTAAAAAATTACAATCTGATCATTCTTTTAATGGCATTTTCGTTTGTAAAGTCAAGTACTCAAAAGCTAGGGAATGTTAAAATTAAAGTTGCTCATGCAATCTCACTTTAGCCTTCTTGGGTATATACATAATGATACTGTCTGGTGCACTGAATGAAACAGGGATCACCTGGGGAAAAATTGTATGTAATCATGTAATTGATGAATGTATTATAATGCATATGCACAACTGAGCAACATTAATTCTCGGCTTTCCTAACTTAGTGCTCAACTTTGCAATCTTAATATTCATTGACTGCAGCTTTTTATATAGAAGAGATATACAGAGTACTCTCATAACATATCCTAGTACTCAGAGGCCGACACTCCTGCAAAACATTAAGTGCATTGAATCGTTAATGACACAAGTATCAACCTTTTGTTTTATGTGGCTAGGTCACAGTAGGTGAATATCTGTGTAGCTCCACTGATAGAAGAGACTATGGAATCAGCTATCAGTGCAATAAAAAAAGTGTATTGGAGGTTTTCCCAGATTGTTTAATTCGATTAGAGAAGTTGTTTTAAAATGTCATAAGTGTGCAGACAGTTGCCAGTCCTATGTTAGGAATGGGGGGCCTAGAGCAGTTCATTGGAGGTGCTGAGAGCCATTGAACCAAACTGTATATCCTGTGTATAATGGAAACCACTTCAAGTGTGGGGTGCTGCAACATCCCTCTCTCCTCTCCTACCAGCACCTAGAGTTAGGGAGATCCTTCAGGTCTACTAATATGCACTGCAAGCTTTTATCATTGAACTACCAATGATTGTCCTGCCATGAGGCCAGGGGACTGGACTCGATGATCTCTCGAGGTCCCTTCCAGTCCTAGTATTCTGTGATTCTATTATTCTACCAAGCTTGAGACAGCATCCTGTCTTCATGCTGTTTGCTAGGCTATGGAACTCTTAGGGTTCAATTGTGACATTAAGCTACAGACTGAAGTAAGGAATGGTAGGGAGGTAGTCTGAGGGAGTAGGTAGTTGCACCATGTTTGAAGAGAACATGCCTGTCCTGCTGGTGAATGGGTGAAGGGGTGGAGCAATAGTTTGTTCTGAAAGTTGATTGGCACTAAATTACTTTTGACTTTGTGTTCCTGGAAGCACTTCATTTGTGATCATGTCCAGACTACACAGGAACGGAGAGATAAGTAACAGAACAGAAAGTTCCTTGCATTATCCCT